TGGAAATCACTTACTGGATTGATTGCGAGGCCAATTGAAGATCCTGAAAAAGATAGAGGTCTCATTCCCTGGGGTGGTTCAGTAAGAAATATAGGTATCAATGCTAACGCAATATCTGAGGTAAATTAAATAATACTACATTTAAAAATTTTAGAGTAATTTCAAAATATTAAAGTGGGTTTAATCTTGATAACAGTCACAACAGACGGAATGGCACAATTATACTGGATTTTTAGCGGCTTTAGGAGGGTGTTGCGTTTTTGACAAACAAATAAATGGTTCAACTACTGGATCGCAAGAATCAAATCATGTAATGGTTGAAAAATACGTTCATGATATGGTAGATTTGCTCGTATGCGATAATGTGTATGTTCGCGAAAGTGTCAAAGAAATTCTCGGCTCGGAATTGAGTCCAAGACTATACGTAATTCTCTTTAAGCATGTTGAATCAATTGTATCTCAATTTTTTGATGGTGATGGAGATGTATATACAACGGACAAAAACACACTTGCTGTAGAACAGGCAATATCCGTTTTAAAACTCATTTTAGATCGTATTCAAGATGCATCTGAAAATTTATACGCGGTAGACCTTGGAGGACTAGTTTTATCTTTTGCTCGATATTTAAATCGACTGGGTGCGGGGCATGTTGCATTACGGATTAAAAAAAGAATGTGTCAATTAGCAGATACATTAATGCTAAAAAAGGACTATATAACACTTCGCCAAGAAATAGTATTGCGTAATAGGCTGCTGGAAATATTTATTGAATGGACTTCAGATTACTCAATGGTACTTTTGATAATTTCTTTATTTAATGTTTACAGGGATTAAAATATTGATACTATAAACTTTAATAGAAAACAGATGGTCAAGGCAATAGCGAAAATCCTTCAAATAAGAGTGAAAGATTACACCGAGATTTGGACCAAGCATGCTTAAAAACAATTGTTTCACTATTGGCGCAATTGCCATTACAACCATCAGAAACAGTGCATGAAGCAGAAATTAGTGGTGTAAAATCTCGGCTTTTTTTTAAATACTTTTCATTCTTTATTAAATTACTAAACAGATGCAGAATTCTTGAGGCATGTTTTTCGTTTTGTTTATCGATCTTATTTTTTTCCACAAAAACTTATAGTCTTGATACTACAGGCTATTGATAGTGGAACACATTCAGCGAGAAATAATCAGGATTTACAAATGTTGCTAACCAGGGTAAAAATAAATTCAAAATACTTAAATATATATACTTGTGTAGTATCTGATAACAGTTTACATAGAATTATTCAATTATATAGTCCAGGGAATATGTAAAGGACTTAGGACCTTTGAAAGATTACACAATTTTAGCTTTAAGCAATTTGCTTAGTGCTAATGTGGATTCTGGATTGAAATTTTCACTATCAATGGGATATCACGAAGACACCAAGACTAGAACTGCATTTATGCAAGTCCTCACCAATATTCTTAATCAAGGTACTGAATTCGAGGGCCTTGCAGAAAACGCAATGAATGATCGATACGATAGACTTGTTGAGGTATATATTGTATAAAATATGTTTAGCATTATCAGAGATATAGTTTAATTAAAAATTGATTATTTATATATATCATTTATATATATCATTTATATATATCATTTATATATATCATTTATTTTAGCTAATGACAGAATCAGACCTTAATATCGCGTTGTCATTATGCGAAGTTTGTCCGGTTTCTGACATAGATGATGTTTCCCGAGTGCTTTTGTCTGTATTTGATTCTCGAAATAAAACTATGCCCCTATTGAAAGGCGTCATTGAAAAAGAAGTTTTAAGTACAGGTATAGATGCTTCTTCTTATCTATAAAATAAAGTCGTGAAACTTAATGTAATATTATCTTGTTTATGGCTAGAATACGAGTCTGACTTATTCCGACGCAATTGTATGGCTACACGCATGTTGGCTGCTTTTGCTAAAATTCACGGTGCCGAATATTTGCGTTATACTTTACAACCATTGATAGATGATCTTCTTAGTAAACCCAGTGATTTCAGCTGCGAACTGAATTCTGATAATCTTCCTCCTGGGGAGGACATTAATAAAAATTTAATCAATCTTAAGACCACAGCTCAAGCTTTCTTGGATGGCATTTGTGACTCTGGATCGAATATGCCTAGGTAAGTCCGTTAGTTAATTAAAGGATGTTTTTAATATAAGGCTATGTATTGATTTTGTCATTTTTAGAACTTTTCGTCAAGTATGCCATTATATAGGTAGTTCTGTTGAAGGAAAATATCCACGTGCAAAATGTACTACAGTGGGG